GTTTCCATGATACATAACTATGAAGGCAACCAGGGCTATCCCTTTAAAGGAGAACTATGGGGTGAAGTCTTTTCCTCATAGTTCTCCTTAGGGTAACGGGAGGACACAAACTAGCGTCCTCCCGTCACCCTAGGCTCAGTATACCGCGAGCTACAGCTCCCTATATACTGAGACGCCGGAGCGGATCCAGACATCGATGTCGAGATCCGCCCAGCTGCGTGAGTGACAGCTGGCTCTGCCTATCTAGAGTTGCCATTATCCATTGAGGAGAAGGGGCGGGGGGGCGGGGGTCTGGCGAATAGGAAATTGAGCATTAAGCACCCCAGTAAATGTAAACAATCTATGGTGGGTATTACTGGTTGGTGGTAAAGTGGGAGAGGTGCTGGGTTCCCCTTTGCTGCTGAGTTCCTACTGCCCCTATGCAGTAAATATGTTCAAACACCCAATTTTAGTCTCTATTGGAATCTCCGAAATATAACATATCCGAAATCATCCGAATCCGAAATGTCGGATTTGGAACGAATTTCGTCCAGATCCCGTGCGTGCGCTGTTAACATTTAAACGGATAAAAAACAAATTAAGAAAAGGATTTTAATGTCCCTTTAATAGTAAAGACGAGAGTGCAGCAACTGCAAATGACAAATGTGCCAATTCTGCTACCCCACCTCAAGTTGAATTTTCGGGAATTCGTCTGAATTCCGAATCTGATCCGAATACGAATCCCGAAACGAAACACATATAGGATCCGGATTGCAAAAACAAAATAAATGAAATCCGAAACTAAACTAATTTTTAGCCGCTGCACATGTCTATCGCTGACCATTGGCCAGATCACCATGAGAAAATGGGAGGTGGCATTGAGAAAAGAAATATGACTTATTTGCTCCAACTGGAATCATACCCTGAAACACGGGTAAAGCAAAAACGTCCTCATTCAGAAGTATTTCGATATTTACAAATTAAAAGTTTTATTGATTCGGTATTATACAATCCAAAAGTACCATAGAAATTTACAAATTTTGGAAAAAAAAAAGTGTATGCGACCCCCCTCTGTCAATCCCTGCACTGGCTTCCACCCCCCTGGCGACTGCCAGAGGTGCCGCGCGTGTCAGGATCCTCTGGCAGTCACAGGCCAGCTAAATTAGGACCCCACCTGGAGCTCCTCCCACCGGACCAGCGCTGACTCGCCGCTGCTCTCCCGCACAGAAGGTAAGTGGGAAAAAAACAAAAAACATAGTGCAAGCATCGGGGCATTTTGGCAAGTACAAGTACTTGTCAAAATTCCCTGTTTTTTCCACCCTCACCTTGCAGCGCCCTCAGGCGGCCGTCTGACTTGCCTTGCGGTAGTGCCGGGCCTGCTCGCCTGCTATTGGTTCCCGAGGAGGGAAGCCTCCTGGTTACCTCGGTGACCGGGGGGTGGTCTTACCTCCCCTGGCTATAAAAACCTGGCCTGAGCTCTGGCTTATTGCTGAGTTATTCCACCACATGGTGTGACATACGATGCTCCCCTCCTATGTGCCTTGCTGCCAGTTTCCTGAACCCTCTGCTGACCTCCCGTGTACCGACCTTGGACCGCCTATCGCCTCTGCAACCTACCTCGACCTCGGATTGCCCTCAACTACCTTTTTGGATTGCCCCTTGTTACCTTGCCTTCGCTGGCCAGAATGAGTGAAGCGCGCTTTCACTATGGATTCCTCAAAGGCGGGGTGCATTTGGTATCACTCCGCCTGTGACAGGAGCCGGCGCTATAGAGGAGACATCGGCTTATGCGGCTCTGCTCCCTCCGGTGCCGCCTCGCTTCCTCTATAGCGCCGGCTTTGTTGGCACCGCTGATTCTCTCCCGCGGCTCTTCAAGTTCCCCCCTATGCCACCTGCCACCACCGGCCCTGGGAATCGTCACAACTAGGTCTTATTTTCGGGGAAACAGGGTAATAAAGGAGAGAACGACAGCGATATTGAAAGATACAATCTTTACATTTAAGAAGGCCTGGCGACCATGGATACAAAAATACAGTATATGCCATTAGACCGGGATATATTCCTAGAAGATTATTATTTTATTACAGGTATTTATAGAGCGCCGACAATTTACGCAGCACTTTACATAGTTGCACATTCACATCAGTCCCTGCCCTCAAGGAGCTTACAACCTAAGGTCCCTTAATAGGAGGGGTTTTGTGGATTGAAATGTATTGATGGTTCATATGTGAAAACATAAGGACTGGGTGTGCGCCAACACCGGTATTTCGGTATCGAATATGAGTACCGATATTAGCATGGACCCGGCTTTCTGGCCAATCAGGAAGCCAGCCGCCGTGTAATGACTGGTTTGCCATTGTTAAGGTCGCAGGTTCTAATCCAGGGCAGGGAATTAAAGGAGAAGTATGAGGGGGAGGGTACCCTTTAGTGAATGGGTAGGGATACAAGTACCCCTTACTCATTCACATGGGGGGGGGGGCGGCATCTGAGTGCCCCCTTATTTAAAGGGGTACCCCGATGCAAATAAGCCCCCTTGCCCGCAGACCCCCACAGCCACCGGGTCAGGGTTGTGGGGAAGAGGCCCTTGTCCCCATCGGCATGGGGACACCCACGTGGCCTGGTAAGGTGCAGGGATGGGGTTCCCCTTTAAAATTCCTACCAGACCTTAAGGGTCTGGTATGGATTTTGGGGGGAACCCAACGCACTTTTTTTGTGTTATAACTGGGGGGTCCCTCCTAACATTCCTACCAGACCTAAAGGGTCTGGTATGAATTGGGGGGAAACCTCACGCATTTTTTTTTTCATCTTCTGCAGACTGTAAAAAAAAAAAAATGTCATTTTGCTGCAACGGAATTCGTCCAATAACGAATTTCGGAAACAGAAATTCGGATTCGTTTGCATCCATTACAGCTGTCATTCGGAATTCGAATACATCCGAATGTCCGAATTTCCGTCCGAATTTTGTTTCGGAACGAACCGAATTGCACATGTCTAACCATTGCCCTAAAGACATGTAAGCCCTTTATATGCTGCCGGAAACTCGGATCCTGGATGCCATTGGGGTCTCAGCTTTAGTATTAATATCTGTAGATGGTTTTCTGTGGTATTCGCAATGAATATTCGTAAACTTATCCGAAACTAACGCAAAATTTGAATTTCGTCCGAATCCAAAACCCGAACCGAATTGAATTTTGGATCCGAATCCCGAAGTAAAGAAATATCCGAACCGAATTTTTTCGCAGCTTACACGTCTAGAGCGTAAGCTCCTTTGGCTGCTGGGACCACCATCAACAGAGCTGTGTTAGTAAAATAAAGTTGCAGATTTCCTGATATAGACCAATGCTGTACAATTCCCCTATTCGAGAAGAGGGCGGGGCTCTGACACCCATGCTGTCTGTTAGAGGAGAGACACCCCCAGTGTCACCGAAGCTGTCCAGAAAAAGTCAGGAAAGCGCTATGTGTGTATGTGCGACTCCGGGGACATTAGAGCGTAAGCTCCTTGGCCTGCGGGAACGGCCGTCAATAGAGCTGAGTTAGTAAAATAAAGTTGCAGATTTCCTGAACCATAGACCAATGCTGTACAATTCCCCTGTGCCAGAAGGTGGGCGGGGCTGTGACACCGGTGGCTCCCGGCAGAGGCTCCTCCCCTGACACCGGAGCTGTCAAACAGAAATTCATGGAGCATTGTTAGTGTGCGATCATTCTAGGGACACCAGAGCGCAAGCTCCTTCAGCTGCAGGGTCTGCCATGAATGGGTGTCCTTAAGGGTGTGTATGATTAGAGCGTCAGCTCCTTCGGCTGTGGGGGTCGCCAGCGACAGAGCTACTTCCACACCAAATATAATGAAAACAAATCTCCGATGCAGACAAACTAACTCTGGTGGAAGCTGCTAATTTCCTTACCTACTGTACAATTCCCCCATTAGAGAGGGGGGCGGGGCAGTGACACCGGGGGCGCCCCTTTACAGCAGAGACACCAAATCGGTCAGAAAAGCCTCGGAGCACCTTGTGTGTGTACAATTCTAGGGACATTAGAGCGTAAGCTCCTTCGCCTGCGGGGACTGGAATGAACGCAACTGTGTCAGCCCCATACAATGAGCTCTACATCTACACAGCCAGACCAACGCTCACCACACACGTCACCATCTGATTGTACAATCTCCTTTAGATCTCCCAACACGTTTGTAGTGCGAGGGCCGGGCTGGCTGGATATCACCTGACCAGACATATAACACGGCTGTATTAGATCCACGGTTGTACAGACATTGTACCGTGTGTGGTGAGCATGAAGTTGGGAACACATTCAGCTGATTCAGCAGGAAATTCGGTCTTTGGGGTTGGCTCCATCTCCTTGACCAAAGTCGATCATTCGATGTGTTGTAGGTGCATGCTGGGAAATCATCGGCCGAGCAATGCTTGCATATGTATTTGTCTGTCCATACAATTCTAGGGACATTAGAGTGCCAGCTCCTTCGGTTGCCGGGCCTGCCATGAACGCAGCAGTGTCAGTCCCATATAAAAGACTAAAATAAACTAAACGTCACCTCCCCGTGACACCGGTGCTGTCAGAGAAAGGTCATGGGGCACGCTGAGTGTCAGTGTGTGTGTGTCAGTGTGTGTGTATGATTATTCTAGGGAGATTAGAGTGTAAGCTCCTCTGGCAGCGGTGATAAACTACAAATCTACTCAGCCAGACTCACCCCAGATTTCCTGATCTCTAGAGAAATGTCCGATCCCCCATCAGAGCGGAGAGACCCCCCTGGTCCCCGGTGCTGTTAGGGAAGTCAGGGGACACTGTGTATGTGTCAGTGTGAATGTCACTGTGAGAGTGTGGGTCAGTGTGTGTGTGTCAGTGTGTATGTCACTGTGTAAGTGTAAGTCAGTGTGTGTGTGTCAGTGTGTATGTCACTGTGTAAGTGTAAGTCAGTGTGTGTGTGTCAGTGTGTATGTCACTGTGTAAGTGTAAGTGAGTGTGTGTGTCAGTGTGAATGTCAGTGTGTGTGTGTCAGCGTATCAGTGTGTGTGTGTGTGTCAGTATGAGTGTTAGTGTGAATGTCAGTTTATGTGTGTGTCAGCGTATCAGTGTGTGCCAGTGTATCAGTGTGTGTGTGTCAGTGTGAATGTCAGTGCGTGTGCGTGTCAGCGTATCAGTGTGTGCGTGTCAGCGTATCAGTGTGTGTGTGTGTCAGTGTGAATGTCAGTGTGTGTGTGTCAACGTATCAGTGTGTGTGTGTGTCAGTGTGTATGTCACTGTGTGGGTGTGAGTGTGTGTCGGTGTGAATGTCAGTGTGTGTGTGTCAGCGTATCAGCGTGTGTGTGTGTCAGTGTGTGTGTCAGTGTGTGAATGTCAGTGTGTGTCAGCGTATCAGTGTGTGTGTCAGCGTATCAGTGTGTGTGTGTCAGTGTGAGTGTGTGTGTGTGTGAGTGTGTGTCAGTGTGAGTGTCAGTGTGTGTGTCAGTGTGTGAATGTCAGTGTGTGTCAGCGTATCAGTGTGTGTGTGTCAGTGTGAGTGTGTGTGTGTGTGAGTGTGTGTCAGTGTGAGTGTCAGTGTGTGTGTCAGTGTGTGAATGTCAGTGTGTGTCAGCGTATCAGTGTGTGTGTGTCAGTGTGAGTGTGTGTGTGTGTGAGTGTGTGTCAGTGTGAGTGTCAGTGTGTGTGTCAGTGTGTGAATGTCAGTGTGTGTCAGCGTATCAGTGTGTGTGTGTCAGTGTGAGTGTGTGTGTGTGTGAGTGTGTGTCAGTGTGAGTGTCAGTGTGTGTGTCAGTGTGTGAATGTCAGTGTGTGTCAGCGTATCAGTGTGTGTGTGTCAGTGTGAGTGTGTGTGTGTGTGAGTGTGTGTCAGTGTGAGTGTCAGTGTGTGTGTCAGTGTGTGAATGTCAGTGTGTGTCAGCGTATCAGTGTGTGTGTGTCAGTGTGAGTGTGTGTGTGTGTGAGTGTGTGTCAGTGTGAGTGTCAGTGTGTGTGTCAGTGTGTGAATGTCAGTGTGTGTCAGCGTATCAGTGTGTGTGTGTCAGTGTGAGTGTGTGTGTGTGTGAGTGTGTGTCAGTGTGAGTGTCAGTGTGTGTGTCAGTGTGTGAATGTCAGTGTGTGTCAGCGTATCAGTGTGTGTGTGTCAGTGTGAGTGTGTGTGTGTGTGAGTGTGTGTCAGTGTGAGTGTCAGTGTGTGTGTCAGTGTGTGAATGTCAGTGTGTGTCAGCGTATCAGTGTGTGTGTGTCAGTGTGAGTGTGTGTGTGTGTGAGTGTGTGTCAGTGTGAGTGTCAGTGTGTGTGTCAGTGTGTGAATGTCAGTGTGTGTCAGCGTATCAGTGTGTGTGTGTCAGTGTGAGTGTGTGTGTGTGTGAGTGTGTGTCAGTGTGAGTGTCAGTGTGTGTGTCAGTGTGTGAATGTCAGTGTGTGTCAGCGTATCAGTGTGTGTGTGTCAGTGTGAGTGTGTGTGTGTGTGAGTGTGTGTCAGTGTGAGTGTCAGTGTGTGTGTCAGTGTGTGAATGTCAGTGTGTGTCAGCGTATCAGTGTGTGTGTGTCAGTGTGAGTGTGTGTGTGTGTGAGTGTGTGTCAGTGTGAGTGTCAGTGTGTGTGTCAGTGTGTGAATGTCAGTGTGTGTCAGCGTATCAGTGTGTGTGTGTCAGTGTGAGTGTGTGTGTGTGTGAGTGTGTGTCAGTGTGAGTGTCAGTGTGTGTGTCAGTGTGTGAATGTCAGTGTGTGTCAGCGTATCAGTGTGTGTGTGTCAGTGTGAGTGTGTGTGTGTGTGAGTGTGTGTCAGTGTGAGTGTCAGTGTGTGTGTCAGTGTGTGAATGTCAGTGTGTGTCAGCGTATCAGTGTGTGTGTGTCAGTGTGAGTGTGTGTGTGTGTGAGTGTGTGTCAGTGTGAGTGTCAGTGTGTGTGTCAGTGTGTGAATGTCAGTGTGTGTCAGCGTATCAGTGTGTGTGTGTCAGTGTGAGTGTGTGTGTGTGTGAGTGTGTGTCAGTGTGAGTGTCAGTGTGTGTGTCAGCGTATCAGTGTGTGTGTGTCAGTGTGAATGTGTGTGTGTGTCAGTGTGTGTCAGTGTGAGTGTCAGTGTGTGTGTCAGCGTATCAGTGTGTGTGTGTCAGTGTGAATATCAGTGTGTGTGTGTGTGTCAGTGTGTGTGTCAGTGTGTGTGTCAGCGTGTGTGTCAGTGTGAATATCAGTGTGTGTGTGTGTCAGTGTGAGTGTGTCAGTGTGTGTGTCAGCGTATCAGTGTATGTGTGTGTCAGTGTGAGTGTCAGTGTGAATATCAGTGTGTGTGTCAGTGTGTGTGTCAGCGTATCAGTGTGTGTGTGTCAGTGTGAGTGTCAGTGTGTGTGTGTGCGTCAGTGTGAGTGTCAGTGTGTGTAGATATATTATTTGTATACAAATGGTGAACTGTAAATAAACAAATACAATTAAACTTTTGTTCCAGAGAAGTTACCAATTTCCTGATCTATAGAGAAATGTACAATCCCCCATCATAGCAGAGAGACCCCCCTGTGTCCTCGGTGCAGTCAGGGGGCACTGTGTGTGCACAGTTATTTTAGGGACATTAGAGTGCAAGCTCCTACATACACAGCTAAACTCACTCTGATGCAATTTGTATTTCAGAAGTTGCAGATTTCCTGATCTATAGAGCAATGTTGTCCCCCCATCAGAGCAGAGAGACCCCCCCTGTGTCCCCGGTGCTGTTAGGGGGCACTGTGTGTGTGTCAGTGTGTGTGTCAGTGTGCCAGCCCCTTTGAGCCTTCCTGGTTTTTTTGTTGCAGAGAGTTACCAGCCCACAAGCCCAGCCACCCTTCCCCTGTTCCTGCCCCTGTGCCCTCCCCTTCCTCCTCCAGCACTTTGTAAAGTCTTCATAGGGCTTTTCCTTCTTTCTTTTCTCCCCCCCGATCTGGGCTGCCAGCGACCATGCCGCAGCTGAATGGCGGTGGAGGGGACGATCTGGGGGCCAACGATGAGATGATCGCCTTCAAAGACGAAGGGGAGCAGGAGGAGAAGATCTCCGACAATTCTTCGGCCGAGAGGGATCTGGCCGATGTCAAGTCGTCGCTGGTCAACGAGTCCGAGACCCACCAGAACAGCTCGTCCGACTCGGAGGTGAGGAGTCGGGGAGGGGGTTCTGGGGTGCAGTAAAGGGGCGCAGCTTTTGTATAGGGGGGGGGCACAACATTGTAAAGAGTTCTGGGGTGCAGTACAGGGCACAGCATGGTATGGGGGGCACAGTACTGAGAACAGTTATAGAGAAAACATTGGGCACAGAATGGGGAATAGTTATAGGGTATAGTATAGTAAAGGGTATGGGGGCACTGTTGGCATGGGGGCAGAAGACAGTAAAGGGGCACAGCATAGATAACTGTTATAGGGAGAGCATTGGGCACACAATGGGGAAAGTATAATATAGGGGCACTGTATAGTAAAAGAGCACAGCTTGGCATGGGGGTAGAAGACAGTAAAGGGGCACAGCATTGTATAGGGGCACTGTATAGTAAAAGAGCACAGCTTGGCATGGGGGTAGAAGACAGTAAAGGGGTACAGCATTGTATAGTGGCACTGTATAGTAAAAGAGCACAGCTTGGCATGGGGGTAGAAGACAGTAAAGGGGTACAGCATTGTATAGGGGCACTGTATAGTAAAAGGGCACAGCTTGGCATGGGGGTAGAAGACATTAAAGGGGCACAGCATGTTATAGAGAACCGGTGAATTGTTAAGGGGCACAGTCAATGCAGTAGGTGGGCACAGCATGGCATGTGAGCTCAGCATTGGGCACAGTATAGTAGAGGGGTACAACATGGTGATGTGTTAAGGGGCACAGTATGGCATTGGGGCACGCCATAAAATATTATCAGTGAAAATCTAGAAGAACAGCATGGTGGAAAATGAAGATGCAGTACTATGGGGCCCAGTAGTGTTGTGGGGCACAGCATATTAAAAAACGAAGGGGCACAGTAGGCATAGCAAAGGTCACAGCATGGTAAAGTGTTACACTGTGTACACACAGCCCAGGGTTCTGAAGACCTATATATACAGTATAGGGGGGGGCACAGAGGGCACATTAATGATGCACACACTGCTAAAGTAATATGGGGCACATTATATACACTAGGGCGGCACAATGTGTACGGTGTAGGGACAGCATGGCAGTGTTTTGCAGTAAGGGGACCCTGGCACAGCCTGGGAACTGCCTCATGACACAGTCACAGGGACTGAGCAGCAGACCTGGAAGGTGTCACAGTAATCCTAGCCGTAAAATCTGCAAGCGGAAATGTACAATTTAAAGAGCAGGAACCTCCAGAAATACCCGAGTCATGTGGACGACATACACCGTAGAGGTGCAGCTGCTGACCTGACCCCCCTGAATTAAACTTGCCTTATTGCCCCTTGTCGTTATTAGGGGTGCCCGGGCCACCTCCAGAGCCAGCGACAAGTGTCAGCTTTATTTCA